AGAGGTGATGACTGTCACCACACCATAGTGCTACATGCGGCTCACTGTGTTTCTGCAGGTGGGACACAGACATGTGGTGGATGCAACACTGCAGGAGAAAGCCTGCTCTGTGGCAAGCCTCATAATCTCCGTCACACACAAGGGCACCATCACCTGTATGAGGAAGGTGGGCGGAGGCAGTCTGGACCCAGAGAGCATCTTTGAAATGACAGAGGTGAGCCCAGCTTTGCTCCTCAGCCATCTGGCCTCCTCTCAGCACAGCTGAAGAATTAACAAATTGTGCTTTTAACCTTATTTACATTTTAAAGCAGCAACATTTGACCTTCAGTTAAAAGGAATCGTTTATATTCTCACGTGGAGTTGGAGCTGCAGGTCGAACTTGAACCTGGGCTGCTGCATTTCAACCATAAGTCAATGGGCACCTGCTCACCCACCTAGCTAAAGTAGTTCACTACTTTTATAGACAGAATTTCTAGGCAGAGCCAAGTGTCATCTTTGCTTACACTGCTGCCCTGTGCCCAAACCTGGATAAGTGGCAAAAAAATGGGTGGATTGTTTATTTCCTTTCTTTCTTTCTTTGTTTGCTTGTTTTCTGCAGGCGGGCAAACGAGTTGGGAAAGCCCTCCACGCTCCTCTCATAAAGCTGCTGGAACAGGAAGAGAGTCTCGGAAAAAAGAGACAGAAAGTTGGTTTTTTGGGCTAAAAATCTGCTCCTGTTTCCAAGTTTGTGTTTACATGTATACATAATTTTCTAATAAAGTGTTTATTTGTACTCTGCTTATATTTGTTTTTTCAGATATGTTTTTGTTGTTGTTTTGTTTGCACACAGATTGATAGAGGAATTGTTTTATGTGGCGTCTGAATCACAACAGATGAAACTTTGTAGAAGATATGTCTGGTTGAAAGCTGAAGCTAGTGAAGGATTATTATTATTATTATTATTATTATTATTATTATTATTATTATTATGAAGATGGTATAAAAATGATAACCACAAATTCTTTAAGCCAAAATTTGGAGTTTTTGTTTTGATTTAAATCAAATTTTACCCCTCAGCTGGGAAAGCCGAGGTGACAAAGGATCTACTAAAAATCTCTGACAAGTTAGAATTTTAGTAACTTTGACCTCAAGATCAGGTTATTGAAAATCTTGTGAATGCAATAACTTGAGAAGGAAGGCATCTAGGATTTTCACATTTATACCATACGTGCATCTAGTAGGAGGCTCAGGGGAAGCACTTGCGGCCACCAGTATTCTTTTGGGCTAATTGTTTGTCTGTTTTAGTTTTAGTCTGATTTCAAGCTGTTACAAAGTCAGGAAGAAGATGATGTGCAGATTATTTAAAATACTTATTATGATGCAAATGGTTGGGAAAATGGCCTAATATGAACCTTGAACAATACTTAGTGTTTGTGTTCATTTATCTTTAAAGTTTGTTCCGCATCAGTGAATGGGTTGTTGTTTTTTAACTCACCACAAATGCAAAACTTTCCATTCTTGAAATCTGCACTGCCCTCTCTCAGCAGACCTGCACTGGAACAGTCCAGTCTTTCTGCATCCTTTTGTGTTTGCCACGTGTCAGCCGAGGAATAAGTGTAGTGGAATCTTACAGAAGGACCAGATGTGACTCTGGATCATTTCCACTTTGTCCTCAGAAAGAGTGAGGGTGTGTGCACAGGCAGACAACAGACGGATCCAAAACAAGCTCTTGCTTTGGATCCGTCTGACATTTGGGCAAAGTTTGAACCATTGCCTAAATCTTTCAGTGCGAAGTCTGAAACTAAAAAAAAAAAAAATCCTGCATTTTTTTTTATAAAGGATCATAATGCACCTTCACTGCTGTCAAAAACACCTGCAGTGATAAAACTTACAGGTCAAATTTTAGCCATATGCTGTGGATGAAACTATAATAATTTGAGCCAGTAAAACTACAGCTGAACTCAGCTGTAGTTTTGCAGGGTCTTATGCAACAGAAGAGTTGCTCTTTGTTTGTCTTTTTTATACACCTTCATGAAAGCTGCAGAGGGCTTATGTAATAGCTGTTTCACACTGTCTGGCCTCAGTCTGCAGGTCTACACCTGCTTTCCAGGCCTGGCTCTGGTTAGCCCTCAACCTCCACGTGAAGAGTCTGGAGCCAAAAGAAACGCACACACGCCATCCTTAAAGGCTTCTGAGGTTGGACTGTTATTCCTACAAACAGCACTTTCAGACTACATAATTTTTCCATCTTCTGGGGGATGAGAGGGAGGGTGTGAGAGGGACAAATAGAAAGAGAGAGGGAGGGAGATGGATAAATTGCGAGCGTCCACGTTGATTCGGCCTCATTCGACAGGTCTAACCATGGAGTTCAAAGGAGTGCGTGTGCTCCTAGGAGTGCTGCTGCTCGTAAGCTCCTCGCTTCAGCAGACTCCAAAGAAGAAGCCCATGAAAAAAGGTAGAGAGTCTTAAGAGTCTCCTCTTACTTAAAACACACTAAAGCTGTTTGATCACTGAGTTTGCACAAGTAACCTTTTCTAAAAAAAATTTCTTGTATGTCTGGAATCAGATACAACAAAGGATGCTGCTATTGTGCACTTACAGAAACAGATCGATGACATCGTCCAGGAGCTCAACCTACTGAAGGAACAACAGGCTCTGCAAAGAGGTAAACCTGGTGTTTAAAACAGTTCATAGTTAAAACAGTCATCAAGAGAAGGCACTACCTGCACCGTCATGGGATAAAACCCTTAAGTGTACGAGTGTATGCAAGTTAACAGTGTATAACAGTCCTTGCTTACCTTGCTTTGGGGCCAGTTGTTAAATCTACCTTAAGACATTTGATATTTTATTAAAAAAAATATGCATGCACTATAAACTAGCTGTCATATAATATTATTAATAAGACAAAATATCAGAATTCTTGTTTTTAATCATTGTTTGATTTTTTTAGTGCGCATGCATCTTATATGTTTTCAGTCAAGTCAGAGTAAGAATTTGCAGTACACACTTTCACTCACTCTACCCATTTAGATTATTCAACACAATTTCTCACAGTTATTCATGCAACATCAACTTATTTTATCCATTTTAGCCCGTTTATCTATATAACACTTGTTGACGTGTCCTCCTTCATAAACTGTGCTTGGGCTGATCCTAGTCACTGGTGATTTAAGGTGACTATGCCTTTAATAGCACACCGGCAGAGTGGAGACAGACGCACTTCTTAGTCTCACTTCTGTCTGATATGGATTACAGTTGAGAGAACAAAATATGTATTTAAGTTGGATCCAATATCGTGAAGCATGCTTCAGTTAAACATAAGTGCAGATTTGATACATGTGGAGTCTTTAAAATGCCATATTTTAATCTGGAAAACACGTTTGCCCCGCTGTTCTGAACAGAAAATCATATTGTTTCTGGAAAACAAACACATACATTCTTTTTTAAAGTTGTGTTCAACATGATAACAAAGCTACATTTTTCCTGCATATCATTATCAAAAAAGTCCTCACAAAAACAAGAAAACATTTTAAAAAAAGCATTTTACTGTTCTTATTTAACCATCAGTTCCTTTTTTTCTCCCCTCTGCAGTCTGTTTAAAAGGCAAAAAGATCAATGGCAAGTGTTTCTTGAGTGACCCTGTGAGGAAACGTTATCACACTGCCAGCGAAGACTGCAACGCCCTGGGCGGTGTCCTTGGCACACCTACATCCAAGGATGAGAACGATGAGCTCAGAGACTACGTCCGCCAAAGCATCGGCCCAGATGAGCAGGCGTGGCTGGGCATCAACGATATGGTAACCGAGGGCACCTGGATCGACCAGACCAGCAGCAGCATCACTTACAAAAACTGGGACACGTCCAACTTTAGGTCCCCCCAGCCAGACGGGAGCATGTCCCAGAACTGCGCTGTGCTGTCTGCAGCCTCCCAGGGGAAGTGGTTTGACGAGAACTGCCGCGACGAGAAGCCATCCGTGTGCCAGTTCAACATCGTTTGACCACATTTATCTCACCAGTGACTCTGCGTTTGCTTGGTTATAGCTGCTTTGTGTGTGTTTACTCTCACTGCAATGCTGCTCTTCTTTGCTATCCTATAAGGGGTTCAAGCCAGCGGTTCCCAACTGGTTTTGCATCAGAACCAAAGTCTGATGTAGAAGTCACAATCAGTTGCATAAGAAGATGTTATTTTAGACAAATGTGATGCTGCTGGTATGTAATTTTGCAGCATTCCTGGTGTTTGGAATAAAAACAAGAAGACCACAGTCCAGTTTGGAGTAAGCGAGAGATTGTGTGGCTGTACAAAGAAATAGCAAAGAAAACTGCATATCATTTTAGAAAAACATAAGTTGAAATAACCATGTTCATGTGATTAAAAATAGTGTTTGGGTGCTGGCACCATCCACAAATTAAAAACTGCATGTAACTCTCTGTTGTCCTCACACCTATCAACAGCAGTTCTGTGACTCACTGGCTGAGAACCACCGTTTTAAACTTCTTTTTAAATAGGACTTTAAAAAAGCCAGAATTATGACTGATATAACTTTTTAATTTTTATAATAACTCAGTCTTCACTCGTTCCAGTTTGCTAGTCTTGTAGCCTGCTACCTGTAAAATTACCATCAATAAACTACAATGTCTATCCCTGTTTTGCTTTTTCATGTTTTTCAGAAATTTGCTTTCCACAAAAAAAAATTTGAAGATTAATTCTGCAAAACTTGCAAGTCAGAAGACGTGCAGACTTTATTTAAAAATCGTCTGCAGTTTAGAAATGTCACATAAACCTGGCCTCTGCATTTGTTATTTCCGCTATGCTCCTTGGTAAACAGTAGCTGCGAATCTTCAGCAGTTCTTCCACACCCTCCTCCTCCTCACACTGTTTTTATAGTTGGAGTTCCTGCAGCTGAAAAAGCTTTTTTAGTGTCCAGCATGCAAAGAGGCCCATGTTTAAGCACAAGAGGGAAAATGAAACATCACTTCAGATGAGGTAATGATGGCCATAAGGTCACGTAAGGCTACACCGCTTCCCCATCATACACTGACAATTTATTGCAAGTCAAAACAAAAACAAAACAATTCTGGTATGTACAGGCTAAGAAAAGGCAAATCTTAAAAAAATAAAATAAAAAAATACTAGTCAACAAGATAAAAAAAACATTTACAAACAACAATAACGGATAATTTTCCATTTTCCATACTTTAAACAAGTTTTTAAAAAAAATAAAACCAAACAAACATTCAAGAAATAGTAGTTGCTGCTTTTTCTGTCTGGGAGTAAGATGAAAAGATGTGAGCCATATCTCTGGGATCAAGGATCCTTAATAAAAAGCTATGGGACAATTACATAAAGCACCTAAAAAACAAACAAAAAAAAAAACATCAACAGCTCATGTTGGAACTACATGAGCCAATCGTGTGCTTTCACATTGAGGTTCATGGCTGCCTCAACACTGCAGTAAGTATGCTTTTTGCTTTTCTCTACTAACTGCATTTGTCTAGAGCTGCGATGGGTCGAGCCAGATGTGTTCCTTATGTCTGAGCCATTAGTGAGACCACAATGTTATGAAACGTTGCACAAGCATAAAGGAAAAGCTTTTGTACATGCACTCTTTGTATCCCAGGGACGTTATTTTCCAGACTTTTAAAAACAGGGCTCACTGCTTTCACTCTTGGATCTCTAGAGCAGACTGAGTTCTACCAAATACCGCTTAGACATATAAGCTCAGACTCCCTGAGTATAGTCACAGCACAGACACGTGCATGAGTACCCCTTGGCAGATACTTGGTGCTGTAAGGAGGATTTTGTAATAGCAGTTCATTGGATGGCTGTGGTCCTGACACACTACAAATAGTCATCCGGTATGGGCTCCATATCAGCAGCAGAGAGTCGGATGGTGTTTATGTCCCCTGTGGTCTTGAATGTGTATAGCTCATTGTCAATCATCCTGCGGTCCTGGAAGCCGAGGCTGTCCTGTCGGTTGATGGGAGTACGTGGACGGGATGGTATGAAAGTCTCAGAGGGATCCATAAACGTTTTGTCCTCGGGCTGTGGATCTGGTTCTTTAATGACAGGCAGCACTCCATCAGCGGGGCCTGTGAAAGTGCGGTAGGTGTCTGTCTGAATGCCGTTATACTGGTCTGGAAACGCCTCACCGTGGCTGGAGTTACTCAGCAGATGGCCATAGACCATCGTATCATCTATGGAGTCATAGACGTGAGATTCATTTTCAGATCTGGTTTTGGTGAAGTGCATGTCAGATGGCCGGAAGATATTCCCTTTGGGCATGTATATGGACGATCCCCTGTTCTTTTTTTGATTTTTCTTTTTCCTGTTTGAAAAGATGAAGACAAACCAAAGGTTTATGGTCTAATAATGCCACTATGAGAGACTATGCATAAAAATGTCTGTAAATTTTTTGGTTTGTTTGTTTAAACTTAAATTCACTGGTTTTGCACAGAGGCAAAATTATAAAATGTGTCCATATACTTTGGACGTAACTGTGTGTATATATCAGCAGAAACAGCAAATCAATGGTTTATCTTACAGCAGCTGCATTGTTCATATTTATTTTACACTAATATGTCATGACTGCAAAAATAAAAGTTGGTATTAAAAATGGTTTGTGTTCTAATTTGGGCAAAAACAACTTGAAAAAATATATAAAGAAAATATAAAGTAGATAAAAAAGGATGAAAAACGAAGTAATTTTAAGTATGGCTCAGTATCTACTCTGAGATTAAGCACATCGTTACTGATAAATTTAATCACAATGAGAAAAAGTAGAACAAAAAAATTGGGGTAGTGGAGGTGGTTTATATAAAAAAGGGTCATTTTAGACAATTGCTTGGTGGTTGCCAGGCAACAGGATGGCCATGCATAATTCAGCTTTTGTGGATTTAAATGACATATTACTGTTATGAAATAAAAGTGATATAATGCTTTTATGACGTGTTTTTTGCACAATTGCAAAAAAAGTAGTACTTTTAGCCATTTTGCAAGGTGGTTTCTAGGCAACATGATAACTGTGTAAAATCTGATGTAGATAAGAACCTTCAGCGGCTGAAGATGTACCTGTATGCTAAGTTTGGCTGCTCAACTCCTGATGGTCTAGAAGGAGTTTGCAGCCAAAGAAACAAAGAAACAAACAAAAAACCAGACACACAGACAGAGATTTCTTTCTAACTAACACAGCCTAGTCTCAGGCATTTTTTAGGCTATCAGCGTTTTGCTGCAGGTGTACTCACTTTGTGACAATGCATACAACAGCTAGCACTAGAAGCAAAAGCAAAATAGCTCCTGATATCCCAAGGACGATGGGTAAGAAATCTGTGGAGGAACAAAGCAAACACTGATTAGATTTATGCCTTTAAGATGTTTTGTGTATGTGAATGTGCTACAGTGATAACTGCTTACTCTGCTTCCTCTGCAGATTGATTGTGGTCAGTGCACTAAATTGACGAGTCTCTGGTTCACAGTTGGACATGTTGAGATAGAAACTCTCACCCACCAACTGTTCCACCACCGGCGGATCATTTTCTGTAATACTTAATTTCAGCTCTCTGTTCTCTATCGTCCTCACATCGATTCCTGTGTGTCCCTCTTTACATTGAGGCTGTGTGACGTTAAAATTGAGCTGGGCTTTGTACTGGTTGGGCAGCGTGACGATCCAGCTTAGGGTGCGGTAAGATTTCATACCCCGAGGCCAGTTGGGGGTCGCCAGCAGTGTTGGAGACATCGTGTCAGGACTGACCGCATAAATAATGGTCTCTGAAAGAGGGAAGGAATTCATATCAAGTCTAAATCCTGGGTGTTTTATAAATGAAAATAAATAAATAAAAACCCATCTGTGGTGCAACACTGCCTCTACGTGGAATTTTAAAGTACAATAGCCGCGTACTGCAGCATGTTGTTTTTTAGTCTCTCAAATAAATTATTTTGTTCATTAACTAATTATTGATTCAAATTTCCTTCATCTTAAGGTAATTCTTTAAAATGACTTCTTTAACCAAACTCAAACAACAAAAGACTACAGAACATACTGGATGATAAAACTAGTCACTTTTTACAGATTAGCTCATGATTCAGGTCATCATTCTCACTTTTGAGTCCTTTTAAATGTTGAATTTGGCTTCTATTATATTTACCAAGCACGACTGCAATGTTTTAAAACAGTCACACAACAAATAAATGAAGCCATTATCGGGAAAAAAATCATAATGACCAGTTATCAGCATTTCTTCTAAATAATATAACTGATACAATTAATGAGTAAATACGCCTGAGCCTGGGTTTTTAGTAAAAAAGAAAAAAAAACCCAGGCTGTAGCCCAACAATACATATTGACATTTTACCTGTGATCTCCTCGCTGACGCTGATATTGAGGAAAGACCCCGTCATCCTGCTTAACTGCTGTCCCGGAGCTGTGATGGAGATGTTGGCGTGCACTTGGATTTTTTGGATTACGCCATCAAAGCAGAAATTTCCAACAAAATTGCTACCCTCTTCTTCTGCCAAGTGCAGAGAAAAAGGCTCTTTACACTCCTGGCTGGGCAGGGACTGCCGCAAACTTCCTTTTGGTGACACCAGGTCCCACGTTTTGGTTTCGGGGATGTTGAGGTGCCAGGTGAAGCTGTTGAGGGGCATTGGCAGGCAAGGCTCCATTGTGGACACAGAAAGTGTAGTCACGGGGCACGACTCTGTTTTCTTGCAGTCTGTCATTCAAAAGCATGAAATGAGATGCATGATATTAAGTTTCCAAATAAAGCACAACTTAAATAGTAAATGCAGAAATTTCTTGCACTTTTTTGTTGTTGTTGCAAAACTTCTTATTTAAACCAACAGGAGGACTCTCTCTTGATGAGCTTTTCTTTGAAGTCTCAGAAATAAAGCTAATAAACATTTTTCTCAAAATATCAGTCTATCCTTTTAGACTTTAAATCGACTATTTAACTTAGATTTAATCTTTTCTATACCCAGGAAACAGAGATAGATCTACTGTCATGTATAAGAAAACACATTTCAGGAATGAGAACTCTCACCAATAACTTTTTTGGCAGTCAGGCGTATGTCTTCATTTGGGCAGTCGAGGAAGGACAATTTGGCTATTGATCCCGCAGTCACATTTATCTTCTCTTTAACCTCAGAGTTGATGCTGATCTCACAGTAGGAGTCAGAATTCAGATTCTCAATCTGCAGGGACACTCCCGGGTCTTTGGTTAGATCCACGGTGCACAAAACTAAAATGCAAAGAAAAATAATACATATAGATAAAGGTAATATAGTCAATAAAAATAAATACAAATAAATAAAAACAAAACGTGAAAAAAAAAAAAATTCCCCATCCAGATGTGAAAATAATGTGGGACATGACAAAGCAGAGACACCATACTTCATCTATTTTTCCTCGGCTTATCTGTGGTCACAGCAGGAGTTGGAGCTCATCAGAGCTGTCATAAGGTCAGATATGGGCTACACCTCGGACAGGGTAGCAGTCTATATGGCTAACATGGAGACAACCATTCACTCTCGCATTCACACCAATTTAGAATCACTAATTCACCTAAGACACATGCCTTTGGAGGCTGGAGTGCCCAGAGAGAACCACACAGAAAGTGCCCAGCTGACCGGCAGATTCAAAACCTCCTTGCTGTGAGGCGTCTATCAAATGGACACTAAAATTTGTTCTCTTCACATCCTCATAGGCATCGTAACATTTTGCCACATTGTCTCCAGACTCGTTTACGCTCATCTCATGTCATCTGTTGATGACACATATGAATGTACCATCGTGAAGGACTACACTGCACTACCTGTGTAAACCTGAACAGGCTGCAGATTTGCTGAAGAATTTTGTTCCCAAATTCACAATGAAAACATTCAGTGTGCAAACAAAATGCCTGTTTAGATTCGGAACCTTTCTACTATGACTTCACTGTAATGGGTTGTTGATAAAAGTGTTACACAGTCTCCATTTTATCTATATTTTGGTGTTAACATGATACTTGCATAATGTAATGAACTTAAGTTTAAATAAATGGAATTTTTGCCCATACAAATTCCATAAACACATCGAAAAACATAAATAATTACATTACAATATCTACCATAGTTAAAGGAAATGACAGTCGTGTGATAGACACATAAAATAGCTTGATGTTTAAAAAAACAAAACAAAACTGTGTACGAGTCCCAGCTGTTTATGTTTTAACACTGTACCTGGACGGCCGCTCCTCACCACAGAGACCCTGTAGTTCAGCGTGAGACCTGGCAGCGTCATGTTGGTTTGACAGTTTGTCAGCACCATGTTGAAGTTGCCCTGTTGATGCACCGGCTGAGGATCCTTTAGAGCTTTGGTTACCGTCTTGGCCCCTGCCTGATACTCCACCGTCACCTCTCCATTGTTGAGGCACTCGGGGGGTGTGACGTGATCAAAGAGCACGGTGTAGTTGTGCATGCCGGGCACTGTGAAGCTCCACTGCATCTGCATGTTGTCAGGGAAGTCTCGAGGAAAGTTAGCTGTCACGAGTGTCGTGTCCGATACACCTCGTGGTAGGTTGACCCCCACTATCGCGGTCACTAAGAGTAAAAAAAAAAGAAAAAGCAGTGGACACTGAAGTTAGAAAAATCAAGATTTCATAATAATTCATAAAATTTTAGAACACAAAAACTCAAAACATTATTATCTAACCTTTTGCTTTTCTAAATTTTTGCTCTTGTAGTTATGCATTCTTTATGATTAAACAATTATTTATGGTTGTGAAGTAAAACAGTGAGCAACTGACACCTGAACTATACCAAATCTTTCCTTTTATCATTCAATGAAAAGGATTTTCATGTGCCAAGTTAAGAAATAATATTTTGGATATTCTGACTGTCCTATAATTTATACAAATGTATGAATACCAAATGGTGACTAGGATATACAACACCAGGTCAGTGTTATAAATCCCCATTGCTTTGCAAGTTATTTGGACACTCCTGTGATTCACCTGGTAGAACAGGCAACCTGAATGCTTAAGGCCTTGCAGCAGTATTTTGGATTCATCCCAGACTATGCTGCATTTTTTTGTCTACTCTGTGCTGCCCTATTGGAATTAATGTATAAACAAAAAAAATAAAAGCAATTCATTTAATAAATAAAAGCCCAGATTTTCATGGAAAACATAACATTTTACAAGTGGAAATATGAGACTTAACTATGGTAATGTTTCTAAAAAGTGTTTCATTATAAGTTCTCTACTCAATGATTTATTGTGCTGTCTGTCTTGTCTGGGGTTTTTTTGTAGATATAAAATGACTCACTGTTCATCTCAGGCCCGCCACTGAGTTTGAATTCAAAAGGATCCATCTTTGCATTCGCCGGCACCTTTAGAGACACGCGGCCCTTGTAGCGACCCTGGATGGTGGTCACAGATCCTCCTCTGCAGAAGGTACCAATAGTTGTCTGCCCGCGTAAATAGATAATAAAAGAGTACGTGTGCTCATCCGGGCATGTCTCCTCACTGGAAATCTGTCTCAGTCCCTGTTCTGGGAAGTCCAGTTGGAATGTGTGAGCAAAATCAGTTTTCAAGTCCCACTGGAAAGTCCGGTTGAACTCTGGGACCACCGAGGACTCGGCCTGAACCGGGTCACCAGAGAACGGGGCGTCTGTCCAGATACAGATAAAACAAAAGAGATGGTGAGTTTCCAATGGCTTTTCCCCCTCACTCTCCAACCGTTCTCCAGGTATCTCAGGCTCTGGAGGTTAAGTTGATTCTACTACACGCTCCCAGTCTTTACCATTTCCATTGTACACTAGTTCTATTCTGATAAGCACACAGCAACGTTTAAACGTCTAATGCGACATATGTCAGTCATAGCACAAAGTCCACTTGCATTAATTTTTTTTTAAACCTTCAGCTTTGTCTTTACCTGCAATCACTGTTAGCTTTAGCACCTCTTCATGTATAAATTATGTCTAATCAGCTTATGACCGCTTTAAAAATTTAAACATGCATTTACTTTCTGTCATGTACATTTAATGCAAATATCTAATAAGTCAATCACATGGCAGCAACTCAATAAATTTGGGCAAGTAGACCTAAACGATGATCAAAACGACTTGCTGAAGTTCAAACTGAACAGAATGGGGAGGAAAGGTAATTTAAGTGGCTTTGAATGTAGTATTCTTTTTGTGTCAGATAGGCTAGTCTGAGTATTTTAGAAACTGCTAATCTGCTGGGATTTTCCCACAAAACCATCGAAAAACAGAAAATATACAGTAAGTATCAATGTCTTTTCGGTGCCAGAGGTCAGATAAAAATGACCAGCTTCAGTTAAAACCAATGCAGAAATATGCAGCGACTGTGTGATGTTATCACACAATTGTCACATCAATTTTGGGACTAAATCTGTTAGGAATGTTTCCAGCGCTATGTTTCAGAAAAGCTAATAAGCTAATCAGCTCATCATGTATTTTGTTCACATGGTCATTTACAGGCGCAGAATGCTCCTTAGGTATCTCATGAAAACTAGATGATACCCCCCTCGGAGGCTTCCCCAAGCTGGCCAATCATGAGAAAGTGTCCTTTTAGATAGGAGATGTTAAAGAAACCAAAGCTAAACTGAATGATTGCACAAATTTACAGTCTTAGACAAATTAGACCTTAAGACCTGACTTCACATATTTTAACTCTACATACCAATTTCTCTGTTGACCTCCACACTGAAGACATCTTGAGGTCGAGGACAGGTAAACTCTACTGAGACGTTGCAAGGAGCAAACAGTGTTAGGAGTTTAGGGTAGCATTTGTAAGGCGCCATCAGACACACGTTGCAGTCGAGCTCTTGATTCACCTTCGTGATGATAATTTTGGTTTTCTTGATTTCAGAGACCACAGACATCATTCTGCTAGCTAAAAACAAAAGGTGCACAAGATGGTGAGATGCTGATCCAGCTGAAGATAATTCAGCTCTATACTAGTCTGATAAAATATTCATATTAGACAGACATGAAATAATTTACGGGTGGTTTATAGTTGTGACCAGGAGTTTATATGCACTCATGAGCATAAATGCACTGGCAATTTGGGGTTTTAATGATTTCTTGGAACAGTTCCTTTTCTAGGGTGGAATAATTGGACAACATACATCTTTAATTACTTTAAAAAACAAGAATTGGGTGCACAAGTTTGAATTTATTGTGGATTTTCTCTCATCCACACAGGGTCAAAAGTATACTTATAAGATCAAATGTATACATACACTCCCACTAATATTTGGTTAAATTACTCCTTTCATGTTTAACCTAAACCAGATGCTTTTGGTTTCCATCAATAAGCTTCTGGCACAAATCTGTCTGGATATCTGACCACTGTTCATGGCAGAATTGGTAGAAGTGTGTTGGAGTGCATGGAAACTCCTAATCACAACTTTACATCATTAACACCTTTAAGCCAAATCAGTTCAAGAAAACACTGCTGGTCAAATATTCTTATAAAACAAAACATTTCCAACAGCCTCAGCAGACCTTTAACGAAATAAAATAGAAAAACTAATATTATGCTATTTGTGGTTAAATTAAGAAGGGAGACATAAATATATTTATAGTTGATTTTTCATAAAAACATAATTAACATTCTACTTATTATTTATTTGTTTTCACACAAAATTTAATCAGGTATAGCATATAATTTATTTTGGTATAACTTTTTAACATTTGGCTGGGGACAAGAAACAAAGCTTAGCTTTGCTTTCCCTATTAATCAATGTCCAAGTCAAATATATACAGATTAAAGTAACTACATTTGAGTTATAGGTCCTTAGCTGCAACTGTATAAAGAGGCAATGATTGAATCATTACCATTTTAAAGGATTTATCAGCCATTGTTAAGGATATGTCTCCATAAATATGTGCTATGATGTTTTTTCTTTA